AAATTTCTTGGTCAGCAGTGGATATAACATAAATTAAACTTTTCGCAACACATTTTGTTTGTTATTAAAAGAAGAAAAAGAATCGAAATATTTAGCGGACCAGATAATATTAAGAGTGAATTTTTTGTGAAAACTCTCTAATTTCCTCCCTTCGTGGATGTCACAGTTTTTTTGAAAGCTTGTCTAGACCAAGCTAATGGCTTCCTCCACGTCGAAAAATTCGACTTTTCGAATATTAAAAATTATACGTGTCACGCTGGTCTAAACAAGACAAAATTCGCTCACACGTAAACCACATATGCATCTCGCCAGCCTTGCACATAACTACGAATTAATTATACGTGACGCTGAATGTCGCGGATGCATCGACCGCAATTGTACAACACGTGATCCGGAGGGTGCATCTAACGTGAATCGGCACTCACCGCCAAGGAAACAGTCCACTTCCGGCTGCATTCCTCGTTCTCAGGTGTCGCAACGCGATCAGCACGACGCTTTGCTCGCGATGATCGTGTGATTCGTGTTAAACAGCAGTTCGTAAACTTGCGTTACATCTCGATACGTACAAACTGACGAGAGCAGTCAACTTTTGTCGATTTTCCTTTCGATGCTCAAAAATTCCTCATCCAGTCGATTGTAAAATAATGAATTTTTGTTTACGATTTTTTTATAAAAAAATCAAGATTCCATTTTATCCGTAATTTGTGTTAGAATATACAGTTTTCACGAAACAAGTGCTCTTTGAAAAAGAAAATTTATTAACTTTCAGCTGGGGAAATATATTATTTTTTTAACACTAAACGTACCGGAATTTTACATATACCTATCTTAAATAAATAAAGGGATCATTTGATCCCTTATGAATAAACGTTGATTTTTAGAAAGAAATTCTTAATTGAGGTCTTATGAATAAACGTTGATTTTTAGAAAGAAATTCTTAATTTATCAAAGGAATAATTTGTGCAACATAACTTCTGATTTCTAATAAAATACTCAAACATATATTTTTATTCAAAGTAAATTTTGCTAATATCTAATAAAATGCTCAAACATATATTTTTATTTAAAGTACATTTTGAAAAAGTCATCTGACCCCGCTTGGTACGTTTAGTGTTAAATATAGCGTTTAAACGAAAGGTTCTCTTGCAAAGTGGTATACAACATTAAATTCGTCGTTAATTTCATCCATTTACGCAAAAACAATATCTTCAGTAATTTCCGAGATATTTGACGATATATCTTCTGTACGCCTAACTTTGAGGATAGTTTCTCACCCTTTCAACATTAATGCTTGCCGATAAAAAACAAAAAATACAGGTCAAATATTTTTTTGAAATCTATGCCAAATTTCATTAAAATCGGGCAGGTTTACTACCTGTAGAATTATTCAACGTCGAACATAGAAAAAAGGACTGATTCTGGATGGAAAAACAAGTTGAAAAATGATATTTCGTTTCTGAGAAAATCGGTGTTGAAAATTTATCAAGAACCAACAAGGTGATTTTTAACGAAAAAGTCGTTCAGTATTCAAAGTCTATTTTCTCGAAAATGAAGCTTCAAGTAAAGAAGTTTTTATTCCAGATTTTTTTACTTACTTTTGCACGTAGAATAACCTTCTATTGATTACGGCTAGGATTAGCCAAATTCTAGCGTATTTTCTCGGTTTCCTCGAGAAACGAAGCGTCATGCAGAGAAACTTTCGTTATTCCACATTTTCGGCTTGTTCTTTTCACGAGGGACCCCACTCTCTAGAATCTCTAGAACCTAGAGATTTTAACTTACTCAATTAATTGATGTTGCAACGTAGATTTTTGACATTCGAAATTTAAGGAAACTCGAGGACTCCATTCTGGCAAACAACGAGGTATAATTTCGGATTTTAATATAAAAAATGCTAATTACATTTAGAACTGAATCATCTAACAATGATTCGGAGTGATATCTTCGGTAGTATCACTGTTAGTTACAAACGTGACGGATTGTCTGTTTGCAGACAATTCCACGATCGATATTCCTTTCTCACCTGACGCCTGTGACTTATTTGACAAAAAAAAAAAAAAATCCGGGCGTCGTTAG